TCACCCTCGGCTTCGCCTCGGGTGACAATGGTTTTCTCGGGTTGACAATATTCACTGTCACCTGCTAATGAATGTCATATTTATATAATATCAACCCAACCACAGAACTTTACCCATCGAAGTGTAAAAAATACGTAATATCAAAAACACAACAAAACCTGAAAAACATATACCTGCATTAGGTAAACAGACCCCTCAATAATTTTTGACTTACTTGAGAAACAGACGGGTCTATTTGATTAAAGTTCACATACCGTCGGTTGTGATATTTATTGTTTCGAAACCCAAACACCCGTATCTTCAGAAATGGTGGGAAATATCAATATGTGTGTACAAGATCGCTTCCACTGGCGCACGTGACACCCCCCTGTCTGTGACCAGATTTTTTCAGGAAGTGAATTATCAGACCGCATTGATCGTGTACACCCCGTAGCATCGTTTGGTGTGCGCACTGAAACCACGTGTGAATGAATTTTAGCCGCTACGCATGTACGGTTGACGGTACAGCTAAGTTATGCGATGCGGGACTTGGGCACCTGAGCGTGTGCCAGTCGGGGATTGTGCCCTAGGTACGACTCGTCCTATTGTACACTCAGCAAATTAAAATGAGCCAACACTTTCGTTTTATTCATTGTCATCAAGCTTTAAATTTATTATATAACAGTTACAAGTTGCATTTAGAAATTGAAGCAGTTTAGGTTATTAAAGAAGAAATCTAGATAATTTGATATGCTTAGCTACTGTGCTAGTTAAGTGGTTGTTATGGAACTTAAAAAATAGAATAAGTTGAACACATGATAGTATGCCTTGATTTGATCAATTGTGACTTAATTTGTATTGAAAATTTGACAAGTGTGACTTGTTTTGTCTCGCCTGCGACCCGATGTCGAGGAGGCGGGACTTAGGTGTTACTTTTCCAGCGGCGACGGCAGCGGCGGCGGTGGCGTCAACGTTAAGTTTTTGCGTTTAGCTCTGTTCCTCAAAAAGTATAAGTGCTAGACCAACCAAAATTGGAACAAACATGCGTCTTATATATTCCATTTCAATCC